CACCGGCAGGGTAACTGCATTCATTTGGATTCGTGATAGAGCATCGGCAACACAGTTCGACTTGCCTTGGATGTGACGAAGGTCTGTCGTGAACTGGGAGATATAGTCCAAATGTCTGCACTCTCGTGGTGAGTAGCGGTCAGACTTGGTATGCAAAGCATACGTTAAGGGCTTATGGTCGGTGAATAAAATGAATCGACGTCCTTCTACTGCGTGCCGAAAATGTTTGATGGCGCAGTAGGCTGCTAGCAGCTCGCGACCAAAAGCGCTATATCTCGTCTCCGTGGTAGTAAGGCGTCGTGAGAAAAACTCGAGAGGTTGCCAACTACCGGAGATGTTTTGTTGCATGACTGCTCCTATAGCAACATCGGATGCATCAACCGCTATACTAAGCGTGGCTGATGGATCGGGATGGGCGAGAAGAGTGGCTTGCGCAAGAGCCGTTTTGATTTCAGTGAATGCAGTACGTGCAGAATCGTTCATTTCCAATCTGCGTGGGTTGCCGCGTAGTAAGTCGGTTAGTGGTCGTAACCGTTCTGCCGCGTGTGGGATGAAACGACGGTAGAAGTTAACCAAACCGAGAAAAGCCTTCAGTTCCTTGAGTGAGGACGGCACGTTGTACTCCTTTATTGCTTGCACTTTGTCCTCACAAGGTAGAATACCCTCTTGCTTGATAACATGACCCAGAAATATGATTTCTCGTTTACCTAACTCGCATTTGTCTGGGTTAACTACTATTCCATTATCCGAAAGGCGTTGGAATAATAGCGTAAGATGTTGATAATGTTCATCTACGTTTGATGATGCGATTAGCAGGTCATCAATATAGACGTGAACAAAATCGAGGTCTCGTACAATGCTATCGATAAACCTTTGAAAAGTTTGAGCAGCATTCCGTAATCCAAATGGCATTCGTAGGAACTCAAACAAACCGAAAGGAGTCGTGATAGCAGTCTTTTCGATGTCTTCAAGAGCGACTGGGATCTGATGATATGCTCGTACCAGATCGATCTTAGAAAAGATAGTCGTGCCCTTGAGCGATGCCGTGATGTCGTGTATGTGGGGGATGGGGTAGCTATCAAAGCGCGTAACTACGTTTAGAGCTCGGTAGTCGCCGCATGGTCTCCAACTAACCCCATCTTTTTTGCGCACCATGTGTAGAGGAGAGGCCCATGGACTGTGAGAAGGACGAATAATACCAGTAGCTAGTAAATTGTCAAACTCACGCTTAGCAAAAGCTAATTTGTCCGGTGCCAGTCGGCGAGGTCGTGCCGTGACTGGCGGTCCGCGGGTGACTATGTGGTGTACCACACGATTGGTCACCGATGGAAGCTCCTCGAGTGGTTTAGTGATTACGGGGAATTTCTCGAATAAAGCGTGGAATTTATCGTCACGCGAATAAAAAGTGCCCAGGATTCGGTACGCGTTCATGTGGGCTTTACAGCCCATGAATTTGCTGTTCGACGAAGTATCGATTAGCTGCAGCCTACGTGAATCGACAAGCAATTCATAGTGCTGTAGAAAATCGATACCTAGTATGGCTGTGGGAACATCAGCAATGATGAACGTCCACAGATACCGTCGTCGGTTGCCCAGGTTGACCGCGAGTTGTCGTGTACCGTAGGTAGGAATGACTGAGCCATTCGCAGCGCGTAGTCGAAGCACTGTGGCTTGTGACTTGCTGCTACCTCGTGGTACGACAGAAACTTGGGCCCCAGTGTCTACTAGGAACCTAGCGTTCGTGCGGTAATCGTGCACATAGAATAGGCGACCAACCTGGGGTAAAGGGCCGGCGAGTACGGCCGCTTTTACTCGCCGGCGCTGGCGTTTCCCGCCTTGTATGAGCATGGTGCTCGACAACGGCGGGCGCCAGACCCGAAGGACCTATGGAACCAGCACCAACTGTCACTCGCTTCCGTAGCCGCCTTTCGGCGTGGCCTGGAAGATGCCCTTTTTGGGCGAGTGGTGACGGGTTTGCGAGAACTTGAGCGAGCTCGGGGGACGTAGGGTTGGGGTACGTTACAACGGTCTCGAAAACTAAGACGTGTGTGAATACACCCGGCCCTGTCACCATGAGCTGAGGAATGACCGGCGTCCATGTCTACTTTAGGACGTGCCGTCGAAGCGACTACATAGGTGTCTCTATTACTAGTCCTCGCCAAAATTTTGTCTGCTATGAGGGCTACCTGGTTAAGCGGTGAGTCCTCGAGCAGTGCCGTCACAGTAGGTTGGATATGGGCTGGTAGTGACTCGAGCCATAATTCCTTGACTATCTCCGAGTCAGATGCTGTTGGTCCTGCAAGAGATTGCAGGCGCGTGAGGTGATGGCTTGGTTTAGCATCACCCAGGGGGTGACGTGCTAACAGGGTCCTCAATCGTTCCTCCCTCGATGGGAGGAAATGTCGGAGAATTGCCTCCTTGAGGCGATCATAAACATTAGGCACGTTAGAATTGAGGATGACCTCACGAACAGCTACTAAATGGTCCCCGGGTAATGATTCGAGAGCGAAGGCGTACTTTTGCCTTTGGCTCGTGATGCGACGAGTCTCGAACTGAGACTCTAATGCAGCAAACCAAACCTCTGGGTCGTGGGGAATGAATGATACAGGTCGAAAGTGAATGGCCTATACGTCTGAGTCTATAACATTAATAGTATTCTTGTCGCTATCCGTCATGTCGTGTATATTAAATATTAAAAAATAATATGAAAATATACGACAGACGTGGATAGATAAACTATAGACTCACCGAATTGGCTTCTTTGGAAGATTTGACCAGAGGTTGGGGCGTGTTCCAAAATACGGCTCACCAGTTGTAGCGTGGCGTCGAGTTGGGATTAACTATGAACACCGCTACCAAGGAACACGTGCCAGGTAAATCAGAAGGCGATGGTTGAACGTAACCAGATTTATTTGGTTGGCGATCTCGTGGTATTGAACGAATACCAAGATCGTGCCAAGGAAGGGTACAAGCGGAATCAGGAGAAAGAAGTACGTGCGAACAGTACCAAAAACCGCGGAACAATGATGGAAGGTAATGGAAGCACAAAATGGCTATGATTAGCACAGTTAAACAAAAGCACATTAAAACAAACACTGGTACAGTTGGTTATAATAATAATTGTTTTTATTAAACCAGTCGTGTTCTCGTGATAAATGTGAGTCACTACAAACTCAACTATTAAATTACTGAGATCTCCACCAAAACCCCTTCTGATAAAAATGAAAATGCACAACAATCACGTGAATAAAATATATAGTAGGAGGATTTAATCTTGTCAGTTGAGATAATAATGATGGTAGCAACTATTATTATTATTATTATTATATTGTTGTGTGAATATAATGTGTGGTAAGAGGGGTGTTATCACGGTAATTACAATATACAAATAAGGAATTCATGTGAATTGAGTATGATAGATGCGAGGATTAAGATAGATGTAATCAAAAATAATGGGAAGGGGTTAAGAATTTCGTGCACTGACTTGACAGTTTACTACACATCATTCTGACCTTTACTAAGTGACCTTTCTAATTTGCAAATAACACAATTTTTGAAGTATATATGTCGTAACAGATGCAAACGTTCATCATTTTTAATATATAACATTGTCAAATTAATTAATGTGTGACTTATTTTAGCCTTGCAAAATCTCACAATAACTATGGTCTTATAACTGTAGTGGTTAATGATGAAGTTATTGAAAACAATTGTTCGCTCAAATATTCTTAATTTTTTAAACATTCTATGGGGATTTTTAAACTATTGGACTAACGTTCATCTTTGTTTTGGCCAAAATCTAACCGCAATTGGTCCGACTCGGCTGTCACGGAAAAAGATTACAAACTGTTCCTTTTAAAATATAAATCAGTTCATGTGTCCTTGATACATATAGCTTTAGGAAATTTTAGAATAATACAGCTACTATGCTTATCAGTCACCCTGAAACATCTAAATTACATTGTTATAAACCTTGATTTTTTTTAAAAGTAGACATTTTGGGACGTAACTAGGAAACTTAATCAAGACATTTCTTTTCGTCTTGAGTATATAATATCTGTTGTAGATATACACCAAGTGAAGTAGATAATTGGGTTTAAACTGAGAAGAGTACGAGTCAACATTTGGCTGAGTATAAGATGTTGAGTTTGTATGCAACGAGCACTCTGGGTTCCTAATGTTTATTGTTCATGAAAATCATAACTTCGGAAGATGAAGGAAATCACGATCGGTTTTCTTCTGACTGTTATATATTAGTTTCTGGTCTGAAGTTTTCCTGTGTTTTTGGAGTATTACAACATAGAGTCATTTTCAAAGTAATGGAAGCTGGGTATATACATAACTATCGACTGAATCATTCCCAATCACCAGTAAGTATTATGCAATATTACGTCAACTTCCAAAACAAATAAGATTGTAAGAAGCTGAATAAAATTCACGATATTTATGGTATAGCTATCTTTAGACCATCGATCAAATTGCAACTAGGCAACCAGTCTTAGTAACTGGACGTTGAGCTGTACTGTGTTTGATTTTAAATGTTTAAAGATAATCTGAAGTGTTTTCAACCAACAGTTTGATTTTATTGATCTGTGTGTGTTTTCTAATGTCGACTTCTAGAATGTGACAGGATAAACCTCTGAGAAAACCAAACGTTTGTAACAGTTGTTTCATCAGAATTAATTTAAGTATTTTAGTAATATCCTTCTAACAATTAAATTAAAATACGGATGTGTCAATACCAACATATAGAAACGAGGAATACTTGGAGGTTTCCCGTCTGCGACTAAACGAAGGAAACGTAATTGAACGTGTTCTAGATTTTATCCATAGTTCGAGAGAAACAGGTTATGAATATCGATAAATTGCTAATAATTAATTGGTCTATTAAGGCAATATTACTATTGGTTGATAGTTTCTGTTATTATACATATTTTGGTTAACATACTTTAATTTCCTTCCCGTTTAATTATTGATTAAACAGTTGATTGGTCATTTAATTTCAATATATTTATTGGAATGAAGCCACACTTTCATGTGTGACCTTGTATCCTACTTCAGTTGCACGTTGGTGGATCTACCATACTTCAGCAATGAGTCAAACATGTGAATGGAAAAATGAGGTCATAAAGAAGCAGGCCCAAAAAGAACGAGAGAAAGACGTAGAAAAACGATGGGCAGACGTGATGTCTAAGAACGGTGAGGGAGCTCCTGAATGGTTAAAAGAAGCTGCTATGAAGAAAAAGCAGAAACAAAGTTTGAAACAGAAAGATGAGGATTTAGCTCCATGGCTAAAAGAAGTTCAGAAGAAGAATGCCGGCTTAGCAAGAAGGATATCCGATGCCACAAATTGTGAAAGTGAAAGTAATCTGGGCTGAAATACGGATTTGGTGCGTTTTTTTCTTTATTACGATAGTTTGATATGTTTTTGAACGAACGGTAAATTAGATTGTTCAATATCATGTGAATTCCACACAGAGATTAACTATACTACAAACATACATATACTTTTATTATCATGATTCTTTTCCTTGTATATTATTATTTGCGCTTTATTTAATAACCTGATTTGTGGAAATCCAGAATATTTTCCTAACACATGACTTCCATTTCTTGAGTTTATCATACACTGAACATGTAAGCCCAAATCTTCGTAAATATCCAATTGGATTTTTCAGTTCCTACCAATTTATCTTCACAGTTAAAATTACGAGTCAATCTAAGCTAAACCATCATTGGAAATCTAGAAGCACTGGACGACCGTCTCGTCTTATTATGGGACTTGGAACCAGGTCATTCGACCTATCGTGCGGATACTCAAATTCTAGACAACGACTAGCGTCGAACGGTGTCAGTGTCTTACTTCAGTAAATCATAATCTTGCGCAACCCTTCGTCGATTCGCTGTGGTGGTCACGGCTTCTCACCAGAACTCTACGACTTACATCTAGAAGCCGGTTACTAGTAAGGGGGAGATTGCTATCAGCATAGAGCATTTGTGGAGATTGTAGTATTCCACACTTGGGTTCCACATGTAAGATTTTGGACACGCACTGTTGAGGAGTTCTTTACTAAGACGAGACGGCCACCCAGTGATTCCAGGTTTTCAATAATGGTCTAGCTTAGATCGACTCGTGATTTCAACTGTTAAATTATTAAAATCTCCACAAACTGCTCATACTGATAACTTACCAATTTATATCTGCGCATAAAATAGTATTGACTAAGGTTTTCCCTCGGTCATTGTTTCAACCCTGTCCATACATTTTTTGGTGTCAATAGCATGTATATTTACCTACCTCCGAATATTTAATTGATATCCAGACTAATTCCTGAGCATGATCGTAAAATCTTTTGATGAATAATGCAGGTTTTAAGTGCAGTTTATATATGTCTAAAGGCATTTGATATAAGTTAGTGTGATAATTAGAAGTATCTGAATTATAGTATGTACTAGGAATCCCTGAAATAACTTAATTTAAATGAAGCGGAACTAGGTGAGCACATACGAACGTATTGTATTTGAAATTCGAAATCAGTCATAAATCAAGTGCAAAGGAATCATTAATTCACACATACATCAGTTATTCTCTGTAGATTATATCAAGAAATATAATCTAGAAACAAAGTCGACGTACAATATATCAGAATATTTCACTGAAGTGACAATTTATCGTAATCGTGTTTCCAATGATATGTGTATATTGGTATACCTAAGAGGAATAATTTAACAATAAATAGTTTGTTGCACTACCTATGGCGTGAAGTTCCCCAAAGTGTTTTATTGCCAAGTCTTGAGCTCTACATTACTGGCCAATTGGTGTAAGAAGTTCAATAATTTCAAGCTGTTTTACTTGTCGTTGAGACACATCATGTAAGGGATGCTACTCGGCTACATAAACAAGTAAAAAAAGTAGAGTTATAACCATAAACATTAGTTGCAAGTCGTTTTGAGTGAATGGTACTGGGTTTGAGTCCCAGAGTGAACATTAACTCTTAGATGCAGGTACATCCAGCTGACGAGTTCTAAATAGGATTCCACTGCTATCCACTATACATATTTGCTTATAAAGCTTGTGACTTCAAGCAGTATCAAGGCAGTCCGAACAGGATGCACATTTGCTAACAAGAGACTGATCAATTGCAGTCCTAAATAACAATAGGAAGATGCAAGTGAATAGCTCTATCTTCGTTCTCATTTTTTTCATCTTCATTTACTTATGTTGACTGGATAACAAAAGATTCATTTCAGGTGTATTTTCTAGCGTAATCACATTTTTAAATTCAAACCAATTACTTATATTTTAAATATATGTGATTTTGACTGCCCTGTAGGACCACATCTGTTTTATGTAACGCGGATTTTAGGTAACAAACGTAGTAAGGTTTGTCTTACCTTATTCAAGCTATTCCCATAATACTACTGAGCTGTATTGTATATGACATCAGTTAAACCAACACAATACAGTTCTTGAGAAGATACTTAGTTTATGTAGATGCTTAATTAGTATTACTTTCACTTAACTACATGGTTTAATCGAGAAACTTAAATTAATGTCCTGACCAGGATCATCAGTGTTTACTTCCTGTAGGTGAGTTTTTGGATATTATTCCATAATTGCCTAATTAGCTCTTTCTGACTACTTTTATCGTGATTGGTTGTCTTCCTGGGTTTTGTTATATTAATTGATCTTTGTATTACATCTGACTATTTTGTAAGTGACAATTTTGTCCAGAAAGTTTCATTAAAATTCCTTTTTCTCGCTTGTACATCTGACCATTAAATTGGGAATGTGTTGTACTACATAAATCTATTAACGCTACTAAACTTGACCCCTACTATTTTGTGTACTGAGAATAATTGGTCCTTGTTTTGCAATCCCAATCCATCTTTGGTAAGATTTGCTCGTATTAAAGTAAACAGGTCCGTGATATCGATTATTCACAAGTTACACTCCATTTTATTATATCTGGGGTTCAAATGTGTAATTGATTCAAACAAGCTTCGGGAAAACTTGTAATCTATTAATAAATAAAAGGATGGATAGTGGCACCACTCGTCAAAAGTTTCGAACGATAATTAGTTTCATATTTATCTATTTATAAAATATGCGCAGCGATTTGATATTTAAATTTAATGTCAATAAGTATATGCGGCTGTCTTTACTTGTAATAGTAGTTGTTTAATTCGATTTACATCCAAATCAGATAGATCGTGTGATAATACACATGACTGTTATTATTAAGGTCACATTCATACATGTTCAGTAGTCAGCATATTGATGTATATTAAGTTGATACATTAGAATTTACTAGCATGCATCGAAACGCAAGTCAATTCTGATAAGAATATGGATCTGGTGTTTTATGTTATGATTCATTCATGCTGATTAACTGGACAGTTAATAGATTGATAGTCCTATAATCTGAATTAAGTTTCGACTACATTTATGCTGTCTCAACATACACTTACTGCAATTTCACATAGTTTATATAAGTGTCACTTTTTAGATACAAAACGATCCCGTTTTCTGGTCAGTTGCTTAGTCTTTTGACATCTGTTCATTGGGTAGCGGTTTGTGTCTGTAATCCAATTTTCCTGATTAATTGTCACCCGGACACTACTCACGCCAATTCAGGAGACTGATCTTAATCCGGTCCGATGTAACAGTGATATGATCTTGTCAGTCCTGTCCTTCCGATTTCCATTCTTAAATAGCCCCAGATGACGTTCAAACAATCGCGTATTCTCATACACAACATTTCAGACTACCACTGGCTAATGATTGACGTCGATCTGAAGTCATTTAGTAGGAACTATCAACCTTAAGATCTGATTAACGGTAACTATATCTTAGACTGCATTTTCTGGTTACATCGTGATGCTTATGGTGGAGTGTCGTTCTCTGAACTGGGTAGTTTAATCGAGTAGCTTTCATTGTTGGGAAGAACAGCTAAGCCGTCCAGCCACAAATCTTCACTTTGTAATTAACTGATATTGGTGATTTTCTGATAATACGAATGATTTTTCTATTCTTAATTGTGCCTTTTTTTCTTCCATAACATTTAGTAAACCATCACTTAAATAAGCAATTTTTACCTAACGCTTTATAATTTCGATTTGTTATCTTAACGTAATATTTTCATTTTACAGCAGTTAATCATTATTTTTGTTATTTTAATGAGGAAACAGTTGTAATGCAATATGTAACATGGTCCCACATTACAGTCCGAACAATCACACTCGTAATTATCAAGCTAATATGTTGATATTTGACAATAATTCAGTATGTCTGTGTTTTGTCTGCCTACGCATTATGGCCTTTATTCTTCTCCAGCTCTACTAAGTACTTTAAGGATTTGTAATCATCTAGTGACCTCTCATAGTTTTGGATCAGACGTGATAAAAAGTTTTATCACTAAGGCGGCTGTCTAGAACAGATATATGCTGATTACCAGGCGAAAATTCATTTGACCTAAAGATGTTCGGTGTTATTATAACCTACAATTACACAGCACTTTGCTCTTTGTTAAACTTCATCCCAACTAACATAGAAGATGGGGTGGGATGGTACTTGATAGTGAGTAATCAGGTAAAAAAAGATATTATTATTGATCACGTTGACGCAAGACTAATGGTAGGTAGAATATATTCAAATAGCAGGTATGAAATATTTAGACATATAATCTATGTAAAAATAGAATAATTCGATAAATATTCATTATATTCCCTTCATCATTAATCCACTTATTTGAGATATGTGGAGTATGTGACGATGATCGAGATCCGTGAAATCCAGTTAGTCTTCGTATTTTAATAAAACATCAGAAATGAATATAACAGAACTGATGTACTTCAAAAGTTACACATAAGGTAACCATCAAACTTGATCACCAATTCTTCGAAGAATAAATATGATTTCCAAGTTAATACAGTTTTACATAGTAAAGGGAGCAGCAGTAACTGAAATGAATAATGGAAATAACATATTTTATTCTTTACTGAACTCAGATTAGAATTCAGAGATTTCAACTTAAAGTGTGTCCTATTTTCTTAACTTGTTATATTCTCAACAAAATACTAATAATAATTCCTTTTCTGAATAAATAGTTTTAAATCCATGTAAATAATGATTTCAAAGTCAACAAATTTTTTAGCTTGTAAGTACAAAAAGTGCGTAAGCACTTAAGCGAGTCGTATTATGTAAATATGAATCTCTAACCTTTTTTCTAGTTATAAACCAAAATATTTAATAACTAGATTAAATTATAGTACATCAATGAACAATAAAGTCAGTTAATATGATGAATGTTTCATCTGCTCACTAGTGACTGGCTTCAAGAGATACTTCTGGAGTTCTAGTGAGAAGTTCAACCAGGTCTGTTGTGAGATATCAACTCACTGAAAACAATGGTGTACGGTGGCGCAACTTCGTGGATTGGTTGAAGTTAGACATTAACACCGTTGGATGCCGGCTCAGTGGTCTAGTTTGTTAAGTGCCTGGCGCGAGAATGTTCGTAAGTTAGTGGCTTATTACGTAATATAGACATACACAGACAAACTGCCCAATATGTATCATTAGTCTCTGTGACCTACGCATATACTGCAATAAAATTGACTTAGATAAGGAATATTTCATTAACTAGTCAACTTGTATTCAAACACTACTGTTATAACGGAAAAGTATTGTATGGATTGCTTAGTACGTACGATCGATCGTGTAAATTGGTTATGATGATTGCTCACAAATCCCAATCATTAATGTAGTCTCAGTGAACAAATAACAGAAAGCAGACTAGTTTGATCAGCAGAATATGAGTCGTTTGATGTGAAAAAAAACTTATATACAGAATATTTAACTTAAAATAAATATTATTAGAGTTCATGTAAATCATAAATGAATACTGGATCAGAATTCGGTAAATTATTCACG